AGATGGTCGCGACGATGATGAATTCAGATGGAAAAAATACACAACAATTGCACACGACTCATTTGTTAGCCTTTTTAAGGACCATAATCTCATGATTATTTATATGTTTGTGTGAAGAAAACTCATCAGTTAACATTAAATGTCTAATATTTATACAAATCCTTTTAATATAATATTCATAATTAGATTAATTTCTTTCTTGCAATTCTTATACAAGATGAAATCCTACCTAATTTAACTGAAATTCTAATTAAAATTTCATCTCTTTCTTTTACATAAAAAGAGATTAGAAGATAAAATTCCAATTATAATATAGTGAGGGTCCTTTTTAAAAAAAAAGGCAACTTAGTATTGATCTTTTCTATGATGGTCTTTATTTTCATGATCCCAACTCCTATTAACTCTCACCATACTATTGAATTGTTTCTCCGAGCATGTACTTTTTGTGTATATTGCCATGATGTTTCTCTTCAATTGGTCGATTAGTTGAATCACCTACAAAAACAATTTGGGGCACAAATAACCATTTTCAAGGATACTATTTAGATATTAATTTGTATTTATTTTATTATGAAATTTTAAATTAAAAAAAAATTCAAAAAAATTCAGAACATTTTTGTGATGAAACAATTAAATTGAAAAAGTAAAATTCAGAATGCAGTTACTAATTCCTAAATAGCAGCTACGTCGCGTGGTTTCTACTGAAAAAATCCTCGCACAAAAAGCTCCGGAAAAAGAAGTTTCTTAAAGTGTGCAAATGGACCCAATATCCAGATGTCAAAAGCTGAAAATGCTCTCCAAGAGAATGTTTGGAAAGCCACCTATGAATTGGATTTGGGAGTAATTGGATGCAATTACTTGGTTTGGCATATTTATCTAGTCAAGTAATTACTTGGTCAGTATGAAATTGAGTGTAATTGGAGAGGTGCAATTACACTTTCCAATTCTCAAGGAGAGGTGAGAATTGGTGGTAATTACATTGTGTAATTACAATGTTACTTTTTTAATTTTTTTTGTTTTATTTTAATTTATTTTCTTTATAACTTTTTATTTCCATTATTTTAATTTCACTTTTTAATTTCTTTTTTAATTTTTAAATATATTTTCTTTGTACATTATTTATCTTTTGTTTCTCTACCTTTACTTCTTCTGATTTCATGTAATTGCTTGTATATTTTATTTTTTTCATTTAGCATAATTGCGTTATTATTCTAGTTTTTGAAACTACACCCCATAATATTAGAAATAATGAGTCAGTACCAAACTTAACATATAATGAGTAATGTCATTAAAGTAGAACTTCATTGTTGAACGAGGTTATAAACTTATTATGTTTCCTAATCTTAAGTTGTATTGAAACTTATTTTTAATATGTTGGAATTTGACATACGTTAAACTATTTTTTTAATTTTGAAATTGTGTTATATTTATGGTTCCACTTTACTTGTTTAAGTAGTATTGACTTGTTATTTCACAAATAACATTGCATGTTGTTCATTTTTTAGTTAGAATTTATAGATTAGTTTTGTCAAATATTTAAATAATGTTATGACATTATATTTAAAAATATTAATTTATCTTATCAAACATGCATTCCATGATGTTCTTACAAGACGTATATTTTTAGTTTTTATAATTTATTAAACTAAATATTATTAATTTGAAAAATATATACCAATTATTTTTACAATATTAGTTATAAATATATAATTACTAATTAATTTATATTCAAGAAAAATATGCATCTTAAATATCAAATCTAATATCATTTATACTTATATAAAAAAAATTATAGGCATATATTTATTATATTAACTTTTAAATTTTGATAATCATTTCATTTAAAATTTAATTACACTTGTGCAATCAAACAATACGCTTGTAATTACACCGTAAAGAAAAATCCAACAAATTAATTCTTGTGAAAACAGAGAAGTAACATCTCCATAAGGTCTTTACTTATTTTTAAGATCATATAAGGAACCCCTATCAGCACTGAATCAAACAGATAAAAATAGGAAAAAGATGGACCTGAGATCTCCTACTTAAACGGAAAGCGGTCAGGTTTTCAATCTTCCACAGAAGACCAACGGTACACGGAATTCAATACTAACTGAAAGCTCCAATACTAACATCTCACTACGAAATGACGCTTACTCCCATTGATATTCTCTAAATAAGAACATGCATAGGTTATGCCTTTCCGCACTTTCACAGGTTCTTCTTTTCTTCACAATTTCAGTCCTTTTTTCTGTTTGAAATTCTACTTCTTACGCTGATTTTTTGCCATTTTCATTCGTGGATATGTTTTATGTGTTATGCTAGATAATGCTTGTTTTTCATATTCTGGAACTTTTGTGTTCTCGATTCCACGTTTGTATGTAAACCTCCATGCAGTCGAATCTCGGAAAAGAAATAGCGTTGAAAGAGTTTAGTGAGTTGAGTTAATCTTCTTTTTGTCCTGAATTTTGGGCAAATGACCTCTCTGATAGTCTGATTGCGTCCAATTGGTTGAATAAATTGCAGTAGAATGGTTGATTACTTATGCAATTGCAAGGTTATTTTGTGACCACCTCATCTGAAAGTTTAATTTGTTAGACAAATGGAACTTTCATTTAATTTAGGCCAAATAGGTGTACACCCCTTAAACTTGGCTCCAGTTTCCATTTTGATATTTTAACTTAGCGTTTTTCCTATTGAACACTTTAATATTATATAAAGTGATCTATTGAACACTTTACTCATAACCAGTAAAAATAATGAGGTGCCTGTAATTCACACATGAATGACTTAGCAAAATGACAAATAAGAGGGAGACACGTGGCATTTGGGCCCAAATAGTCAAAAAGAAGTTTTGAAAACAAAAAATATTTATTTTAAACACCCCCTCCCACCGTTACCTTCTTTCCAACCACCCCCTTTCTTTTTTACATTCCATGGAATCCCACCACCGAGTGGAAGATAAAATTAAAGATCCGTTAGAAGAGGTTGAGCCAAGTCCAGTCGGGTTCTTGCTTCCAAGTGATGAAGACGAGCTACTAGCAGGCTTAATGGATGATTTTGATCTTAGCGGGTTACCGACGCAGGTGGGGGATTTGGACGATGATTTTTTTGGCAGTGGAGAACTCGAAATGGAACCTGAGGATCAAAATAATTTGCTTAATGGTATTACAAACTTAAGCATGTCTTATAGTTATCCAAATGGTGCTGCAACTGTTGTCGGGGAACACCGGCGATTCTAGCAACCACCGGCCATTGCTCATTTCCTTTCCTCCTTCATCTCTATTATTCTATTTCATTGTTGTTTTAACTGATAAAAGAGCAGAACTGAAAGAAGTAACCGGACATTTAATATTTCGGTGGCTACCATTAAAATCGGCGACATTTATCACCATTTCTGGTCTTCCATCGTTGTGGTATCGGAGATTCGTTCGTGTTTTGTCTATTACTTATTTCGTGGTCGGTGTGTAAATGTTAAAACCTTGATAAAATTTATTCCGGCAATAAAATTTATTAATTCTGGCGATCTACATTAATTCCGGCAATAAAATTTATTGTTGTTGTTCTTCTTCTTTTTAAAAAGTCAATTTTGATTTAAAAAAAAAAAATGATATCAAAACCATTAAATTCACGCGCGTAAGAGGGGGTGAACTACAACTCTCTTGCCATGTCAGCTTTTGTGTTTAATAGGCATACATAGATTTGGGTTGAAGTGTTCAATAGGAAAAACATTAAGTTAAAGTATCAAAATGGAAACTGGAGCCAAGTTTAAGGGGCCGTACACCTATTTGGCCTTTAATTTATTATAACTCTACCAATGTGGGGTCCGTCCCCATAAATGAAATAAAGAAAAAAGAATGAAAGGGGTCCATCCCCATAAATGAAAGAAAGAAAAAAAAGAAAAATGTGTGCAAATTGTCAAATATAGTAGGCCTCAGAGAGTGAGGCTTCGGTTATAAAAGGAGAGCTTTGGCTCTCATTTCTACACACCAACAACGAGAGAAAGAAAGAGTGATCACAAACAGGGTATAAGAAAATAGTCCGCGAGAAAAATAGAGAGTGAATGATATTGTAGTGATGTGAGAATATCAAAAGAGGGTTATTTCTTTTGAGTGTTGTCTCTCGGGGCCGTGGTTTTTTTTCTCTTATTCAAAAGGGTTTTCCACGTAAAAATCTTTGTGGTGTCGTTGTCATTCTTTTATTCTTGTTGAATATCGTATCTCGGTGCTACGTTATTATTCCGCTTTTATTACCGTGAATATTATTTCTGTAGGGGGTTTATTCAGTGGCGGAGCCACCTTATAGGAAGGGGTGTCAAATGACACTCCTTCCTGGAAAAAATACACTGTGTAACTAGGTAATTCTGGCTCCGCTACTGAGTTTATTACCAACACAATGTACACCTCACAAGTTACCCCGAGTCATTTTTTCTTCCACCAAGTCCGTGATACTTTTTTTTTTTTTGCTTATGTTTGGTGACGAGACGAGTCCAGGAACTCTATTCTATATCATGTTAGATTGTGTGACCACCTCATTTTAATTTTTGTTTTGCAGAATTCAACTAGTCAATTTCTTCACCCAGCTTGCAGCAGTTAATGTAGAGTAATCAGTATTTGGTTTTGGTTCTTTTAATTATTTTTGATTTATGTGCTAGAAGGCAGCTACTAGGAGAGTTTGAATTCTTTTGAATTGTCTCATTAGCTTTTGGAACATGTAGATTGCATATGCTTGTCACTCATAAATCTGTCTCACTCTTTTTCCTTTTTCCTGTCATTTTTCCTCTCCCCCCTATTACATTAACACATTATATGTCTTGATCCATTTATTCACTTGGAGACTATACGTAGTCATTTTAGGATTGCACGGCTTAGTCTTAGAAGTTTTAGAACAAGATGCAATTCTTTCTGCTATATTAGCCCATAGATATATTGATTCAGCATTTCTGCTTCTATGCGATGCAGATAGCTTCTGAATCGGATGTTGCACTATAGTTCGCTATCATGAATTCCATCCTGGATCGCATTGCCAAAGATTATGGTAGACGGAGCAGCTCAAGCGTATACAGTACTGGGGACGTCTTTGAGCCTTTGTCAAGTAATAATGGTGAGGCTGAAGGGGCAAAACATTTATTCCATTTGATTCTGATCAAACTCTTGTTCTGGCTAATTCTTCTAAATTGTTGTTTCTACAGCTAAGCAACGGGCAAAATTGGTAGAATGGTTAAACAGCGTTCTTCCTCACTTGCGTTTGCCAATAAATTCTTCTGATGAGGATTTGCGAGCTTTCTTGGTTGATGGTACTATCTTATGCCATTTATTGAATAAGTTGAAACCAGGTTCTATACCAGAGGTAGTTTATAACATTTTTTATTTTACAGTATGAAGGAGTAAGGATGGTTTTGTTTTGTTGATTTAACTGTAATTTTTGTTCTAGTGTGGTGGTTCAGAACACTCTCCGGAGTTAGGCTCAGAAAACATTAAAAGGTTTTTTTCAGCTATAGATGAAATGGGATTGCCCAGGTTTCAGGCATCAGACTTGGAACAGGTTAGTAGCATGACTACAAACTCGTGCTCATGTCCTAACTAACATATGTTGATCACTTCATGTTTACTTATGATTATCAAAAGTGCTTGTATGTCTTAATTTTGCAGGCCATTTGTGTTGTTTAACTTTTTCCATATGCACAAAAGTGTTATCATTCTTTAACTTTATGCAATCAAAGTGCCATCTATTTTCTGTTTTCGATATTTTGACACAGATACATTGTCCAGGGTTCTATGAAAATAGTAGTGGAGTGCCTTTTAACTCTTCAGGCAGAATTAACGCTGAATGATGGAGGACACAATTCTAGCACAGTATTATCCGGTAAATCTGGAGCTGATGCAAATAGAAGATGGAAACTGTTGGGAGAAAATTTTGGATGTGGCGATGTTTCATACAGAGAAGAATTTTCAAGAACTCAGTCTTCTCCATCCCCAGGAGAACGACAGAAGAACGGATCAGATTCAAAATTCCAGCGTGCATTGAGAAGCCCTGTAATGGCAGGTATTGTTGTTTCATTCTCTTCCCAAATACATTTGTTTGATATTTTCTTTGCAACCATCAATTGTCCTGTGCTCTTCTTTGTACTAAAAAGTTAAATCCATTGTTAAAGTAGTTATCTAACTGTTTGTTCTCACTACTTTCCCAAACTCCACAAGCCATGTTCCCTTTCTCAGACTGTTAAATTTTCCTTTCTCAACTTTGTAGAGCCATCAGCTGCATTATTACATCACGTCGGACATAAGTTCCATGAAGTATTTCAGCTTAAACAAGGGAGCAACACTGAAATTCCTGCTGCAAAGATTTCAGAAATGATGAAATCTAACAGTTTGGATGTTAGTAACAAGTCCCTTTTTATCAATGAATCTATCTTGTTAGTTGGATAAATTCTACACCTGGGATTTTGAATTTATACTTATTTTCCTTTATTTCATTTCTTATTGCTTTCAGATTGCCCCAACACAGTCACTTCTAAGTGTTGTCAATGGGATTCTTGATGAAAGCATTGAGCGGAAGAATGGCGAGATACCTCAAGTGCGCGCTTGAAATACACATATTGATTCATAGAATTTCTGTTTTACATGAAATGCATTACAAAGAATATGCTCTAACATTAGTTGGTTGGTCTAATTATCAGCGTGTAGCATGCCTATTGAGAAAAGTGGTGCAAGAAATTGAGCGTCGGATATCCACTCAAGCTGAACATCTTAGAATGGTATAATATATAGCTACTGTCTTCTCAATTTCTCTTTTCAGTGAATATGGTTCATATCATTTTTCTTTCTATGCCAGCAGCAAAACAATCTATTTAAGACTCGTGAAGAGAAATACCAGTCGAGAATCAGAGTCCTAGAAGCCCTTGCAGCTGGAACTAGTGAAGAGACACAGGTAGTTATGGACTTCACCATCTAGGAAAAGTTCCAAAGTCTCTGAGTTTTTACTTCTTCCATAGTTTCTACCTTTACACATTCAATTCTTCTCCATTTCAGATTGTCATGAACCAGCTTCAGCAGATTAAGGTAAATCCCACTTTGACTTCCTCTGCCGCATTAAAAGGGCAGCCCGGTGCACTAAGCTCCCGCTACGGGCGGGGTCCGGGGAAGGGCCGGACCACAAGGGTCTATTGTACGCAACCTCACCCTGCATTTCTGCAAGACGCTGTTTAAACGGCTCGAACCTGTGACCTCCTGGTCACAAGGCAACAACTTTACAAGTTACGCCAAGGCTCCCCTTCCTTGGCTTCCTCTGCTGCATTGCTAGCTTAATATTCAGTATGTTGAGCTATATACTTGCATTCTCTCCCTTTCATTTCCTCTTCTTTTGTGTGCTTTAACTCTATAAATCATACAAATCTGATATCCTGGGCATTAAACCACCTATGCTTTCTCCCATTTGTTGGCTTTTGCTTGTCGGAAATAGTGCAGAGGTTGCGGACATTATCATTACTTACTCAGATTAACAATTTCTTTGCTTATGATTACAAGTTTCGCCTAGAATTTGTTCGTTAATTGTGTCAAGTAATATTTGTTATTGATTGATATGATATCAAAGACTAGGTACTTTTAAAAAATTTCAGCTGTCGTCATTCTTCTCAACAATCTTTAATTTTACTATTCCTTGCTTTTTGAAATCACATGCAGAATGAGAAAAACAAAATGGAGGAGAAAAAGAAAAACGAGGAGCAGGATGTGCCTAGATTGAAAGAGAAGGATGATCAAATTGCGACTTTGAAGCAAGAGCTGGAAATAGCTAAGAAATCGTATGAATCGAAAGAGAAGGATGATCAAATTGCGACTTTGAAGCAAGAGCTGGAAATAGCTAAGAAATCGTATGAATCGAAAGAGAAGGATGATCACGGTCAAGAAGTCGCAGCTTTGAAGCAAGAGCTAGAAATAGTTAAGAAATCATATGAATTGAAAGAGAAGGAAAATCATAATCAAGAAATTGCAGCTTTGAAGCAAGAACTAGAAATAGTTAAGAAATCGTATGAATTGAAAGAGAAGGAAAATCATAAGAAAGAAATCACAGCTTTGAAGCAAGAAATGGAAATATTTAAGAAATCATATGAATTGAAAGAGAAGGAAGATCATAGACAAGAAATTGCAGCTTTGAAGCAAGAAATGGAAATAGCTAAGAAATCGTATGAGTTGAAAGAGAAGGAAGATCATAAGCAAGAAATCGCAGCTTTGAAGCAAGAAATGGAAATAGCTAAGAAATCGTACGAGTTGAAAGAGAAGGAAGATCATAAGCAAGAAATCGCAGCTTTGAAGCAAGAAATGGAAATAGCTAAAAAATCGTATGAACATCACACCTTAGAAATGGAAAAAAAGGCTACAGAATCTCAACAAGAGCTTGAAGAGAAGTTGAAAGAGGCGACGAGCCTTTTGACAGAATCAAGAAATAGGATAAAGGAACTTGAGACATTTTGTCAATCAAAATCGGAGAATTGGACCAAGAAGGAGCATATTTACCAAATATTTACAGAATTCCAGCTAGGCGCACTTCGTGTATGCTTGATCTCTTTTCTTTATTTTTTCTTTCTAATTTTTTTCTGAAATGTCAGTGTTGTAGCACGTGTAACTTGGACCTCGATAATGTTCAGGAACTAAGGTTTTCTTCTCAGTCAATAAGGCAAGAAGTTGTAAAAACACAGAAGAGCTATGCAGAGGGATTCAATCAACTAGGTCAGTTCAGCTTCTTGAAGTGTTATAATAACGTCGTTTATTGATTGCAGTACAAGTATAAGATATCAGCACAAGTTTAAATATTGACTTAAATAGATTTACCTTATGGAATCAAATTTCGATTACAGGTGAAAAAGTTAGAGCACTAGGACATGCAGCTGCTAACTACTCTGCAGTCCTTGCTGAGAATCGCAAACTGCACAATGAGGTGCAGGAGCTAAAAGGTGCGATAATATTGAGGACTGAAATTTATTACCTGTCCTTTTCATTTACTTATGGTTATTTTTCAATTAGGAAATATCAGAGTATATTGTCGGATTAGGCCATTCCTTCGTGGACAAAAGGAAAAACAATCAGTTGTTGAATACATTGGAGAAAATGGGGAGCTTATTGTTGTAAATCCTTCCAAACAAGGAAAGGAAGGCCGTAGGTCTTTCAAGTTTAATAAGGTTTACAGTCCAGCTGCAACACAAGGTTTTCAGATTCCTCCATTTGATTGTTGATCTTAATTAATTCTTTTATCTACGCGTTCTGCATAATGAACTCTAAAATGAATTTCACCTTTCCAATTCGTTTACAGCTGAGGTCTATACAGATATTCAGCCCTTGATACAGTCCGTGCTTGATGGATATAATGTATGTATATTTGCCTATGGTCAGACTGGATCAGGAAAAACATACACCATGGTAAGAACTTCCGTATATAATTCTGTTAGATATGTTTATACTGTATTTGTTTCACTTTCCTGATGTCAAATTAAATTGACCTCCAGACTGGCCCAGACAGAGCGACTGAGGAGAATTTGGGTGTCAATTATCGCGCTTTAAATGATCTTTTCACAATTTCTCAAATGAGAGGGAGCACCTTCACATATGAAATTACAGTTCAAATGATAGAAATATATAACGAACAAGTTCGTGACTTACTCTCAAGTGATAGTTCACAAAAGAAATATCCTTCCTTCCTCTTTGCTGATACTGCTTTGTCTTACATTTACAATTAGTTACCAGAAGACCATCTCCGACTTGCATATAACATGATTTTCATTAACTGTTTTCCTTGATTTGCACACACTTGGGATATTATCCGCCTCCCAACCCAACGGTTTAGCTGTTCCTGAAGCGAGCATGCAGCCAGTAAACAGGACCTCTGATGTCTTAGATTTGATGGATATTGGATTAAGAAATCGAGCAAAAGGTTCCACTGCCCTGAATGAAAGAAGCAGTCGATCACACAGGTTATCTATAACTTTTAAGAGTTCATCTCTATACTTTGTAGTTTAAAGTACATATCTTTCTCTTTTTTTTTATTTTATCATGAGTGCTTTTCTATAGTATACATCAATAAACTAACTGCAATACATGCCCAGCGTTGTAACTATTCATGTTCGTGGGATGGACATAAAGAGTGGTTCATCCATGCGTAGTAGTCTTAATTTGGTGGATCTCGCTGGAAGTGAAAGAGTAGACCGCTCTGAGGTGACAGGAGATAGACTGAAAGAGGCGCAACATATAAATAAGTCATTATCTGCCCTAGGAGATGTCATTTCCGCTTTGGCACAAAAAAATGCTCATGTCCCTTACAGAAACAGCAAGCTGACTCAACTCCTTCAGACTTCATTAGGTACATATGAATTGTAAGCAAGTAGTATTGGAGATATTTCAACAGTTAATGTGCTCGGCTGTTAAGAGCAGCCCGGTGCACTAAGCTCCTGCTATGCGCAGGGTCATGGGAAAGGCCGGACCACAAGGGTCTATTGTACGTAACCTTACCCTGCATTTCTGCAAGACGTTGTTTCCACGGCTCGAACCCGTGACCTCCTGGTCATATGGCAGCAACTTAACGTGCTCGGCTGTTGCACACTTATTATTTTATTTTGTTGTACAGGTGGCCAAGCAAAAACACTTATGTTTGTGCAGCTAAATCCTGAAGTTGGTTCATATTCAGAAACCATGAGCACGTTAAAGTTTGCTGAAAGAGTATCTGGAGTAGAGCTAGGTGCTGCTCGGAGTAGTAAAGAGGGCAGGGATGTAAGAGATTTAATGGAGCAGGTGTTCTTTTAACTTTAAACGCTTATTAGAAATTTTCAATTGCTGTGCTAGAACTGAAAAACTATTTTATGCTCCGTCATATTACCTAAATGGTTAAGGCTGAGGAAACAAGCCAATCGACGTAAGAGTTATGCAGCTCTATTCTCCTATATGTTGTGCCTATCTTTTTGGTTTTGCATTTTCAAGAAAACTGAGAGATATGATATGCAGACTGACTTTACTTTGTAAGGTGTGAATTGGAGTCTCTTGTAATTTTTGATCTTCCAGGTTGTGTCTCTTAAGGATACGATATCTCAGAAAGATGAGGAAATTGAGAAACTGCAGCTGATCAAAGATAAAAAAAATGTTCATATTGGATCTGACAGCGAGACACATGGTACTGATTGAGGTATGGCTTTCATCTCCTTGCAAAAATTTCTTTGTGAGGATCCTGATAAAGCTGAACACTTTCTGGTACAGCTGAAAATTTTCTTTGCAATGTTTGAATTTCGTAATGTTTATGTCGTGGAAAAACTGAGTGATATAATATCTGATAGTTGTCTTTTAATGGGCACAGAAACTGATTGCAGTGCAGAAAGCAATCTTTTCCATGAAATAGCCAAAAGAAAAAGGCAGAGAACACAGATAAGTAAGTTTATATCATATCAACATATATGGATATGCTTTCTGAAAATCTGTGTTTACAATTTAAAGTAACAATACTATATAATACAATAAGTAACAACCTTCGTATTTTATTGTATTGTATTGTACTGTATCGTTTTGATATATACATTATTTGAATAAATTATATTATTTGTCGTTGTTTTATGATGTCATGTACCATTAATATAAAGAATAAACTTGCAATATTACAAAGAAAAAAAAAGATACGAGGTAGAATTATTATATAAAAAGGTAGGGTAAATGATAAATAAAATAGGATTATTTAATAATAAGAAAGGTCAAGATGAAAAAACAAAACAAGGTAACGACGCGATCACACCAAATCGATCGTTACATAAAGTGACACTTCTCATCATTATATAACGACAGATTTAACGATATGATACATTAAAATTTAAATAACAATCAAAATAAATATTGTATTTAAAGTAACAATACAATACAATACAATACAATAGATACCACCATCCAAACCAGCTGTAAAACTATAAAAATCTCAGTGCTTCTTCATATTCTCTATTCAAGTACATCAAAATACCACAATTGGCTACACTTCACACATTGCTAAAGTTTAATAGAAACTACATTGTCATCTGGAATGATGTAATTATAAGAATCTAGAAAAGATAAGGCAAGTAATTCAAGCGATCAAGCAAATACGAATTGCTTTAGATGAAAAACTGGAAGATCCATGTTATCTGAGGTAGACTTATCATAAACCTCATTGAATCAGAGAAATTTTACTTTATCTTTACAGATATGCTAATTTAGAGTTTATTGAACTCGTACTTTTGAACGTTTAAATTGAACTAACTGCTTGACTATCATATTATGTGATTCTTTTTTTGCAGATCATAAACAATCTAAAATTCATAGACGCCTACTAAACTCACCAAAGGATTCCCTAAAAGTCTCAAGTTGGATGCTGCTTGTCTTAAAGATATTTAGTGTGGTTAAAAGTTCCTTCAAAATTGGAACACTCGGACCATTTGGTCGGCCAAAACTTTCCAAAAGGTTGCATGCAGTGATATGTAGTTGTTAGTGCTCGTCATATTTCATTCTTTCTTGGTTAAATTAAAGAGTCTGATTTAGTGTGAAGGGCTATATGTTATTTTGTTGGGAAAATGATATTGTATAGTCGCTCTCAAAATAATAGCCGAAAAATATATATTTTTTGTGCATGTATACATTTATATATGTTATATACAAAAATATACAGATTTTATATATTTTTGCGACACCGGATATAAATAATTTCGGCCGTGGGCTAAAATGATCTTTGCCTTCTTTTTTTTTGGGTTAATGACACTGTTGGTAATCTATTTTTTTCTTTCTTTTTGGGGGTGAGGGAGGTTTGGGGGTAGTAGAAGTTTGTAGTCAAATAATTTTTGAAAGGTTTCTTGTTTCTCTATGTTTACCCGAAAACGGATAGAGTTGAATTTGAATGTAGTTCTAAGGATACGTGGTATAACTTGACATGAATCGTAAAGGGAAATAAAAATATCAAATATTGACTGTAAAGGATGAAAAATAAGCAAAGTTAAAAAGATGATAATTTATGAACAAGCAAGATAAAATAACGTATGAAGCTCCAAAGGATAATCTTCCAGTATAGGAATGTATCAACAGTATTTTAGTTACAGTGTATGAATAACTTGATCGATCCCCCTTTATAGGAATAATAGCCATCCCTCTTATAGTGTAGGGATCCTACTTTGGATATAATTAAAAATACATAGTGGGGAACCCATGATAAATCAGCTTTTCCCTAATTTTCGCCGAGATTCCCTTTCTTAGTGCGGCTGTAACGGCTCTTGTCTATGAGCTCGATATTGACCCGGGATCGATATTGACTCGAGCTCGATTTTGACTCGGGGCCCGGTATTAATTCGGGCTCAGTATTGGTCGGTCTTTGACTCTTAAGCTCGATAACGTCGCTTCGCATCATAGTTCGATTTTGGATTCGAGCTCGATAATGACTTCGAGCTCGGTATTGATCGGTCCCTGAAACTCGAAGCTCGGTAACCTGGCTTCGGATCTTATCCCGATATTATGAAGACGCTCTTCGGTCCATTATATTCCCATCTCGACCAGTCGTTCGAAGGCCGAACTCTGTTTTGACCGTATACAGATAGTCCCCTCGTTTTTCGGTAAAGATGTAGCAAGAAACGACATGATTTTCCAACAGTACGATTAGATATGTACTGATGTTTTGCATCGAGCCCGATCATGACGTACGTGATAGCTGTCCCGTCGGTTTAGTTTACCAAGGCATTTGATGCATGTCACACGATGGTTGGCCGCTGTTGATACTGAACCGAAGTTGCTCAATCTATAAATAGCCCCTTTCTTTACCATTTATCACATTTACATCTCCAATCTCCAAATTTTCTAAAGTTCTTTCTTGCATTTTCTGAGTTCATCTGTAAATCTGTGATTTTTCACTGCAAAAATTTTCTTTTGTGATTTTTACTGCAAAATCTTTCTTTAAAACATCAGATCTTTGTTATCTCCTTCCTTTTTGATCTTTAAATCCAAAATGCCGAAAATATCAAAAATCGTTCCTCACAAAGAAAGAGCTTCTTCTTCATAGTCTGCCGCCGTCAAAATACCGGTGGAACCACGGCCTGAGGAGTGTGTTCCCGGGGCGTGTGTTCTTACCTCCGATTTTAAGGTCGATAAAGCCTCATCGGTTCCTGGTCGATGTGAACTAGAATCGAGGTATATGTGCTCGATAACTAAGGGACACCTCGAGCAGCTGAGAAAAGATTGTAACTGGGAGAAAATAGAAGTGATAATCCCGGCTCCCGAAGAAGATATAACTACTTATGTGAAAAGGTTTTTAAGTGTGTATACTTACCCTTTCACATTGGCCCCCCTCGACCCTATCGTTATTGATTTTTGCCGCCAATACCAAATAACCCTAGGCCAAATCCATCTTTCTTTTTGGCGGATCGTTATTCTGATCCGTTTTTTGTGAACAAGATCGAGGGGATGCCTTTCACCCTCGACCATCTTATCAGACTGTACAACCCCCGCCTCTATCGCGGTGGGCTAATAAAACTCCAGCGCCGAGCTAACAAAGTGCTCTTCTCGAGCATAAACGAGGACAAGGATCGGGGCTGGATGGGCAGGTTCGTTCGAGTGAAGACCTCCGATCTGATCCCGGCCGAGCAGATGCCATTCCCTGAGGAGTGGAACATGAAGTGTAAGTATATTTCGACTGTTAACTCTTATTGCTTTGCTCCTTCGTTTCTTTCTCACCGATATCTTTTTTCGTGATATAGCGGTTGCTTGGATGCCCGGTGCTATTCCCGACCTTAAGAGCTGGGTACAGGCCCTGGCTTCGACCTCTATATACGTCGAGCGCTCGTGGCGTGATTTGTCAAAGGGCCGATGGGAGGCCAAAAATTATGGTAAGCCTCTTTCTCGTGCCTTTATTGGTTCGAACAGAATATTTTCTATATACTTAACCAATTTTCTTGTGCGTAGGCTTGGGCAAAGATGCGGTCATGAGGCCCCCGTCTGGTGAGGAAGAGACTTCGGCCCCGGTTCCGAAACCGACAAAGGGCAATAAGAGAAAAAGGGCCTCCACTTCCGAGGATCCAAAACCCAAGACAAGGACGGATCGTAAGCCGAGGAGGAAAATTATCCCTCTGACCGAAGAATCTGTTCGGCGTCTGAGGGATGAAGACAAAGAAGAAAAATAAGACGACAGGTCCGTACTGGTGGCCCGAGTGAAGAAAACCATCGATGCCCCAAAGGCAGCTGGATCGATGGTGGTTTATGAAGCTCCACCTCGAATTGAGGGGATATCGGAGAAAGATTCGGGCAGAGTCTCCGAATCATTAGATATCGAGGATGCTTCCCACCGAAGTCAACAAACGGTGGGTATATCTGAAGGGGCCGGTCCTGAAGCTCTCCGAACTGAGGAGAACGCCCCAAGCGAGTCGCTTGGGGAAATAGTAATCGTAGACTCGCTCACTCTCCCTGCTTTTTCCAAAAGGGCGATTCAGGAAGCCCAAGCTTTGGGGGCCCTCGAGGTAGACCGGTCTCATGAAGGGGAGGACCCCTTCCGTGATTTGTTTACTGGTGCCGAGGATGTTGCTGGCCCTAGTGATGTGTTGGGCCTTTTCTATGAAGTGCAACAAGCTCTGAATCGGGTAAGCTCTAACTCCCTTCGTTGATACCACTTTTATGTTTCCTATTCTTTTCTAACTTCTTTTCTTCTTTCTTCGTAGGCCGCAGCAGTTCATCGAGAAACATGTTATCGGTTTCGAGCTGAGCTGCGTCGGTACGAGGCCGACCTCCGACAGGTCACGGAGGAGAGGAATGCCCGTAGACTCCTCTTCAGGTGAAGGGAAGAAAAATCAAGGACCTCCGAGCTGAATTGGCCAAGGTTCAAAAAGACCTGACCGACCTGACCGAGCAGGTAATGATAATCTTAAAAACCCATAGGCTTGATTCTGGAACGGTGGCTAATATTTCGATCTCACAGCTGCAGCAGAAGCTTGAGGTGATTGGGAAGCTTCGTGAGGAGGTCGATATTATAAGGGCGGAGACCTTGGGATGGAAAGATGGCATGGACCGTCTCGCCGCAGAAAAAGAAACTGCTCGAGCCCAATTATCATCGGCCGAAAATCAACTTCAAATCATGAAAGAGAAGAGCTTTGTTTAAGCAAGAAAAATAGAGGAGCTCGAGGCTCGGTTGGCCTCCGAACTTGCCAAGGCCAAATCTGACGCCGAAAAAGCAAAGGCCAATGCGGATGCATTCGTGACCGTCTATCGGGCCGATGCTGAAGCTGCTCAGGTACAAGCAAGAGAGGCAGCCGAGACCACTAAAACTCGAGCATATTGGGTTGCTAAACTTGCCAAATGCCAATCTCTGAGGGTGACCCTCGAGGAGATCCATGCTCGAGGTTTCGATCTCACCGAAGAGATAAAAAGGGCTAAAGAGCTCGAAGCCGATGCTGAAGCTTTGGCTTCCGATGATGACGATGATGATGATGGGAGCAAGAGTGGGTCTGAGAGCGGGGAGGAGCCCGATGGAGAAGAGACCGCCTCCGGAGATAACCAGGAGACTTAGAGTTTTTTTTTTCTATTTTTTGTGTAGGGTCCTGTTCGGACGTTGTAAACACTCCTGTATATATATAAAGATCTTTTCCTTTCCCGACTTGTCTGTGTTTTATTTTCTACCTTGTGAAGATCTTGTTTCATTCATGCCTTATGAAAGTTTTCATAAGTTCGAGGCTTTAGGAATTTTGATCGAATTCGGGCCTTGTAGTCTTTATAACCGAGTGAGAGCTTTGCTCGAACTTAGAATAATTGTTAGCCCTTAGGCTTAGTAGTCAAGTGAGTGATTGCTTGAACTCGGAGAAAGGTAGCCCGTAGGCTTTATAGTCGAGTGATGGATTACTCAAACTCGAAGAAAGGTAGCCCGTAGGCTTTATTAGTCGAGTGAGTGCTTTGCTCGAACTCGAAGTAAGGTAGTCCGTAGGCTTTAATAGTCGAGTGAGTGCTTTGCTCGAACTCGAAGTAAGTTAGCCCGTAGGCTTTATTAGTCGAGTGAGTGCTTTGCTTGAACTTGAAGTAAGGTAGCCTGTAGGCTTTATTAGTCGAGTGAGTGCTTTGCTCGAACTCGAAGTAAGAGTAGACCTTAGGCTTTTATTGATCGAGTGAGTGCTTTGCTCGAACTCGAAGTAAGGTAGCCCGTAGGCTTAATAGTCGAGTGAGTGATTGCTCGAACTCGAAGGAAGGTAGTCCGAAGGCTTTATTAGTCGAGTGAGTGATTGCTCGAACTTGAAGTAAGGTAGCCCATAGGCTTAGTAGTCGAGTGAGTGCTTTGCTCAAACTCGAAGTAGTAGTAGCCCTTAGGCTTTTATTGGTCGAGTGAGTGCTTTGCTCGAACTCGAAGTCAGGTAGCACGTAGGCTCAATAGTCGAGTGAGTGATTGCTCAAACTCGAAGAAAGGTAGCCCGTAGGCTTATTAGTCGAGTGAGTGCTTTGCTCGAACTCGAAATAAGGTAGCCCGTAAGCTTAGTATGGGGCTTGGCCTCATTGATATTTTGGTTGGTAGTCCCCGATTAATGGGGTAATGG